AGCCCCTCCTGACATTGACCTCTGACCCTTGACCCCAACTTACCGCATGGATGACCAGATGCTCCAATTTGCCCTGGGTTTTGAGCCTCAACCCCTGACTTCGACCTTGAACTGAATCTGAAGCTTTTGGTTTGCTGCTGCAGCCGACCTCTGACCTCCTCCCCGCCACCCCAGGTGTATGTCCGCAGCACTGACTTTGACCGCACGTTGGAGAGCGCTCAGGCCAACCTCGCAGGGCTGTTCCCTGAGGCTGCCCCGGGGCGCCCAGAGGCTGCCTGGAGGCCCATCCCTGTGCACACAGTGCCAGTCACCGAGGACAAGGTCAGGGGGCCGGGCAGGTGCAGGGGGTGGGAGGGATAAAGAGGGACAGAGACCTCTGGGCAGAGGGAGCCAGTGGCTGGGGCTCTGAGGCCTCCCTCCCCGGGGGCAGAGCCGTCTCGGTGAGGTGAGCTGCCATCTCCGTGCTGCGTAGCCAGATTTGGGAGGGACCGGGTAGTTTGAAGAGAGATTTGGACCAGAGACAAGGGCCCCAATTCCCCGTGCCCCCTGCTGGGACTGGGGTCCCAGTCAAGCTGGCCTCTCTGAGCCTCAGTTTCCCCCCAGCTGCTGAGGTTCCCCACGCGCAGCTGTCCCCGATACCACGAGCTGCTAAGGGAGGCCACGGAGGCTGCGGAGTACCAGACTGCCCTGGAGGGCTGGACAGTGAGCAGGGCCGGCGGGGCGGGGCCGGGGAGAGCGCGGCGTGGTGCGCGCGGCAGGGAGGACGTGGCAGGGCGGGGTGAGGCGGTCCCTTAGACTCAACCAGCCCGGTGCATCCAGGACTTCCTAACTCACCTGGAGAACTACACGGGGCTCTCATTGGTCGGAGAGCCGCTCCGCAGGGCGTGGAAGGTGCTGGACACGCTGATGTGCCAGGTGAGCCCTCGCCCCACCCACCCAGCCAAGGCAGTAAGGGCACCTGGATTCAAATCCCAGCTTTGCAGCTCACTACCTGTGTTCCCTCAGGCAAGTCCCCATAACCCTTAGAGCCTCAGTTTGCCCATCTGCACAATGGGGATAGCAACGCACTTATCAACACCTCCTGGGGTTTCTGTGAAGATCAAGACCCGCGTTAGAGCAGTGCCGGGCACACCCGGAGGCCTGCAGGAAGGCCTGAGTCTGTGTTTGTAATTCCTCCTCTGTTAGCTCCCTTGCGGGAAAAGCCTCCGAAATCAAAACTTGAGCAGCAGGAGCTGCATGATGCTCTTCAGATAGTCTTTGCTAACCTCATTCCGTGAAACTAATCCTGGTTGCACGGTGGGAAGTGCAATGTGTGTGACTAAGGGGCTGCCCAGTCCCTGCTGCGTGTGCCCTGATGTAGATGGGTGAGGGCTCCTGGACAGTGAGGTGATGGCCTTTGTTAATTAACGATTGCTATGGGCCACGCCATAGCTTTTTGACCAGACCTGGCCCATGAGGGGTTCAGATGAGGGAGGTGGGGGAGACGGCTGCAGCTAACGGGACAGCACAGGCACGGGGGGGGGGTCTGAGGGGAGCATGAAGAGCTCAGGATGTCCTGGTCACTTTGTCTCCTCTCCCTGTCTCCCTCCAGCAAGCCCACGGTCTTCCCCTCCCATCCTGGGCCTCCCCGAATGTCCTACGGACGCTGGCCCAGATCTCAGCTTTGGATATTGGGGCCCACGTGGGTCCACCTCGGGCAGCCGAGAAGGCCCAGCTGACAGGGGGTGAGGCTGTGGGGCTGGGAGGCTGGGAGGCCAAAGCGCCTTCCTCTGGGGGATTCTGAGCGCTCCGTTCTCGTCCTCTCAGGGATCCTGCTGGATGCCATCCTTGCCAACTTCTCTCGGGTCCAGCGCCTAGGGTTGCCCCTCAAGATGGTTATGTACTCAGCTGTGAGTCCTTGGGAGGGGAGGCAGTGCCATGTGAGCACAGGGATGAAGGGAGGAAGAGCTGGTGGGGTGGTCTCAGTGGAACCTCCGCCTGCTGCCTCGGGCAATTCGTATCTCCGAACCACACTCTCAGACCTATCACTAGAGGTACACAGTCCGAAAGGAGGGAGGTGATGGTGTTATAAGAGAGTTTAGCTCTTCTGGAAGGACGAAGTGTTTGACTGGACTGCCCAATCATATTTTTGCATCTCCTTGACCAATCTTCATTAAATGATTACCTGTAATTGGTAGGATTGCCTCCAAGGTGAGCAGATTTGGGGGGGGGGTTTGATTCTAAGGGATCTGGGGGACATCTGGGAGGCAGCTGGGTGCCCAAGTCTAGAGTTCAGGAGAGAGAGGACGTGGAGGGTGGAGCCGCGTCTCAGCCCTGGGACCCACCCGCAGCACGACAGCACGCTGCTGGCCCTCCAGGGAGCCCTGGGTCTCTATGACGGCCACACCCCACCGTATGCCGCCTGCCTCGGCTTTGAATTCCGGAGGCACCTCGGGGACCCTGACGAAGATGCAGGGTAAGGAGGGGATGGCGCTCAGGAAGGGGCTGGACAGCACTGTTGCAGGATGAGAGATGGGGTCCCAGGCAGTGGGCGTGGCCTGGGGCCGAAGGGGGGATTTGCCCGGGATGGTGCTTGGAAGTAGACAGGTGGGGAGTCAGGAGCCCCATCTCCCCATCGGGCTACTGTTCTCCAGATCTAAGTCAGTGGCAGGGGAGGCGGGGAGGGGCTCAGGTGCCACCACCTCCTGTCTCCCTCCAGGAATGTCACCATCTCCCTTTTCTACCGCAACGACTCCTCCGGCCGGCCCTCGCCCCTCAGCCTCCCCGGGTGCCCGGGCCCCTGCCCACTAGGCCGATTCCGCCAGCTCACCGCCCCGGCCCGGCCTCCGGCTCACGGGGTCCCCTGCCACGGCTCCCGTGAGCCTGCCACCCCTGCAGGTGACAGCCGTGGGCGGTGGGTTGGGAGCGTGGGGGGTCCCGGGTCCCAAGACTCAAACCCCCGTGTTGTCCCTGCAGCCACGGTGGTGCCCCTGTTGGCTGGGGCCGTGGCGGTGCTGGCGGCGCTCAGCATGGGGCTGGGCCTGCTGGCCTGGAGACCCGGCTGCCTGCGGGCCTGGGGGAGCCCCGTGTGAGCTGGGGAGCCGGGCGCCCCACTCCCACAGCTGACATTGCACCCCAACACGTCTGCTCACCCGCTGCTCTGGCTCCCGTGACTTACTGTGTGCGCCTGATCCCGAGGGAACCGAGGGGAGGGCTCCCCGGCCCGGGGCTGCATGTGGTTGTGTGTGTGGACGCACGTGTGTGCGTGTGTGTACATGGGCCCGTGTGAGCGGCGGCTTGTGCACACGCATATGGCACGTGTGTGAATGTTTCTGCACTTCTCATTTGGGTGCACGTGGGGTGTCTGCACACACGTGTTGGCACATATATGCACGTGTCCGTGACAGGGTTCCGGGCCTGCTGGGTGCGTGCCGCCTCTCTCTGTGCATGCTGTGTGTGCGGGTTTGTACTTACGCAGGTGCACGGGAGCATACGGTGCGTCAGTACCTGCGGGAACAGGTATGGGTGGGGGCAGCATGTGCTGTGTGCACCTGGCCCGTGAGCCCCTCCATGGGCCACGCACTCCCTGGAGACCTGGCTCCTGGGAGTCACCCAACCTGGCTTTGGCGACCCTTGCCAGCCCTCAATGCTGTCGGAGACTGGCTGTCCCCTTCAGTCTTTTCCACCCCGCTGGTGGGGGGGGGGGGGAAGGGGACAGGGAACGGCTCATAAGGAGGTGCAAGGGCCAAAGCCACCAGCAAGCCCGAGGCTGTGACTGGCCTCTGCGCTCCCATCTCCTTTGGCAGAGATGAGACTCCTCAGACCCCACATCCCTTGCCATTAAGCTTCTGCTGGAGGTCCCAGAGTGGGCGGGACTGGAACGTTCTTGGGGCCTCGATGGTTTGCAGAGGGTGGGACCTGCTTGGGTGCCCACTGGCTCCCACGGGGCTATTTAAATAGAGTGAACAATTCAGGTCCCAGCTGCACTGGGACTAAAATCTGCGCCTGCAGGCCCTGTGGGGGGCACCCGCTTCCAGGCCTGTTCCTGTGACCCTGCACTTGACCTGGGAGGGGAGACGCCACCCTCTCCACCACATGCCAAGCACTGGACGGCCAAACCTGGGGGCTGCCTCCCCCTGGTGTGGTCACCAAAGCCCTCACTGGCCACAGCCCACACGCCCCACGCTGATGGCCAGCACCCAGTGGGGAGCCCAGGATGCAGCAGATGTTGATTAGACAAGATGGCCAGAGGCGATCAGAGATGGGGGTGCTGCTCATAGCAAGAAGCTACTCCTAGCCACCAGGCCCCCAGACCTCCCCCGGGGGGAATAAGGTGCCAGGCCCCTTGAACTTGGGGGTGGTGGTGCAAAGGGCTGGGGCGTGGTTGGCCTCGGGCCAGCAGACCTGTCTGCCCGGCTTGGAAAGGCCAAGGCCACGCTCCTTTATGTGGGGACCACCAGCGGACCCATCCCTGAGGGCGCCTCAGAGTGCCTTCATGCATCCCTGGAGAGGCGGGCACCTTCTTGCTTAGACTGACCCAACGTTCTAGTGGGTTAAAGGGTCCAACAGGATGACAGGACCCAGGGCCTGCAGTGCACTGGGACGGCCCGCGGAAAGATGGGGGCTCCCCTGGGGCTGTTGTGCGCCACCCCTGCCCTTGCCCAGGGAGGGTTCTGGATGTGCTTCACCTCAGGACCACACCACAAACCCTGCCAGTCAGGACAGCCCACACACGGCGACACTATTTAATGAGCGACCAGTGCCCAGTGCTGACCACCAGGGTGGTCTGTCCCCAGGGAGCTGTGATTCTTGACCCCAACACCTAATGTAACCTGGGCGTGACAGGCACTGCTCAGATGCCACAATCCAGCTAGAAACCCCAGATGGGTCTGGCTGCCCCTCCTCCAGGTGAGTAAACAGCAAAAATCCACTTTAAAAAGTGAAAAGCATTGCCCCCCCCAAACAAAAAAGTCAGAAAAACCAACCCAAACCAGAACACCAGAAAGAAACACTCAGAGAACCAAAGTATTGTATATGCTTAAATTATTAGGTAAAAACAGTGCATTTAAAAATAGCTTAAGAAAAAGGGTACAAACTTCAAGGTGCCTTCAAGTTACTGGCTGTGGGGAGACCCCACTTGGCCTGTAGTGCTTTGGGGGCCCGTGTGGCAGAGCGGGTGCCAATGGGCCTGAAGTGTAACAGGCTGAAATGTAACAGGTTGTGCCCCTGGGGAAGGGGGCACAGGCACCCATGGGCTACCAGCCGGTGGCTTGCTTCCCACCATCACTCTGGCTGGTGACACTGGTTGGGCGGCCGTGGGTAAGGGCACCTCTGTCAAGAGCCCCAGGAGTCTGGAGACCAGCAGATGGACCACCCCTCAGTCCACCCTGGGGGTGCTCGGGAGGCACTGACTCATCTCCCCTGGAATCCAGCATTCCCCCCGCCCCCGCGGAGTAGCAGCAGCAGGAAGGCGGGAAGACAGTGCCCCGCCTAGTCATGGCGCACGGGTGCGGGTGGCTCCTCCCCACAGGCCTGGTCTGAGTAGGGGGGAGGCGGGGGCTGCTCGTCACCCAGCAGGTAGGCAGGGTGGCCCCGGCTGCGCTTGGCCTCCTTGATGTAGAGCTCCAGCAGCACCTTGGTGGGCTGCTTGTCCACCCTCTCCTTGGGGACGCCGTGGCTCAGCAGCCAGCCTGCGAGGTCCTTGCGTGTCGGGTTGGGCCCCAGCATGAGCTTGGCGCGGCCCGGCTGGCTCTGGCGCCAAAGCAGGCCCACGTCGGCTATGGTCTGGATCTCCATCACCGCCTCCAGCACCGTCATGCCCTTGACCAGCAGGCTGACCAGCGAGAGCCGCAGCTCGGAGGGCGCGGCCGTCAGCAGGCGCCGCTGCAGGCCCTGCGTGAAGGGCACGTCCTCGGGCGCGGGCTCCTGCTCCGGTGCGGGCGGCGCTGGCGGCTCGCGGTAGATCCAGTCGAGCATGCCCAGCTCGCGCACCAGCTGGATGCCCTCCTCCATGGTGGTCCAGGGGCGGAAGGGCAGCTCGGTGGCCTCAAAGTGTAGGAAGGATTCCCAGCGCTGGCGCCAGGCCCGCAGCAGCCAGGCAAGCAGCGTCCGGCAGCCACCCCGCAGCGCCTTGCAGTGGTAGTTAAAGATGGCATCGCCGGTCAGGTCCCCCAGCAGCGCCAGCTCTCCAGAATTCAGGGACAGGGCCGAGCCCCCCTGGTCATACACCCGCAGGATCCAGGTGATCATGAGCTCATTGGGGTTCTGCTTGAAGCGGCGCGAGATGGCCAGGAGCTCGGTGTACGTGTAGTACCGATCCCCCCGCCCCGGCTGGGTGGGCGCCAGTGCTCGCTCGGACATGACGGAGCAGCGGGGAGCCAGGGGGGGCGCTGCTGCAGGAGCTTCAGGGAAGACCGAGAGGCCATCAGGTGGGAAGAGCCACCCCCCCAGCACCTCCCCGTGGCGTGACCCCTCAGATCCCCGGGTGTCAAAGGTCCCGGGGGCACTGCATCCTCAGGGGAGGTCAGAGCCCAGTGCTGGATATCCCAGGGGTCCCCAGCCAGCCCTTTCCGAAGCCCTGACAGTGTCATGACCTCTCCCGTGTCCAGCCTCCCTCACCGCCCCGCGCTTCCTATGGACGCCGTGAAGGTGAAGTGAGTCTAGTGCTTAGCACTGGGCCCAGCTAAGTAGACACTCGGCATTTGCTTTTATATTACCACCATCATCTACGCATTTCACGAGAGACTTATTACTATGGTAGTGACAGGAAGAGCCTCTTCTGTTCTTACCAAGGACAGGGACAGCGGGGCTGTTTCGCTCCTGGAGGAGCCACCTGCAGACAGGAGGGAATCGGAGCGGAAGAGCAGGTCAGCGGGACACAGGGCACCCGCGGCCCCCCAGCCCTCCATCCCCAGTGTGGGGGCCCCTCAGACCCCCTGGGTGTCAAAGGTCCCGGGGGGGCACCATGTCCTCACGGGAGGTCAGAGCCCAGTGCTGGACATCACGGGGGCCCCCGTGCCCTTGTCCTCCTCCTCCCTCAGGTCACAGAGCCACCTGGCTCCAGTGCTAAGGGGGAGGACAGACAAGAGCTCACGAAGGCAGGACAAACGACTGCTACCCGGCCACTGGGGCGCCAAGAAGCCCCCATCACGTGCCTTTTGATGCCACAGTCCCCCCACCACCCTTGACCTCCCCTCCCTTTGGCTTATCCATGGCTGTCACCTTGTATGATCCGCCACAGCTGACTTCAGCACCACCAACGCCCACCCCACCCCGAGGAAGGCGCCCTCCCTCTGCTCAGCTCCAAGCAGTGCCCCACCGAAGACCCCCCACACCTGCTCGGCCCGCACCTCAGGTCCACTTTCCCCAGCCGCCTCCCAGAGCCTCCAGCTCACACGCCCCGCCTCTCCATCTTCCTGGAAATGCCCCCCCACCGCAGAAAGGAGCTTCTCCCTAGAGTGCCAGTCAGCAAGAGCGGCCACCTCCTAGCTCCCCCCGCGCCTGCCTCCTCCCGCACCAAGGTCACTGCTCCCGACATCCAGGGACCAGGGAAAATCTTCCCGGGCCAGAGAACACTGGCTTCTTTTCAGACAGCAGGTCCCTGTGCCCATTTTAAGATCGGGCTCTTTGAGGGGCGCCTGGGTGGCTTAGTCGGTTAAGCGTCCGGCTTTCGCTTAGGTCATGATCTCGCAGTTCATGGGTTCGAGCCCCGCGTCGGGGTCTGTGCTGACTGCCAGCTCAGAGCCTGGAGCCTATTTCAGAGTCTGTGTATCCCTATCTCTCTGACCCTCCCCTGCTCACTCTGTCTCTCTCTCTCTC